TTACTAATCTTTTCATTTCACTTTGATATTTTTGCTTGGTTTTCTTTACTTCTAATATTTTTTCAAAAATTTATTGAAAATTTAAACTTGTAAATTTTTATTTTTTATTACATGAATTCTTGTATCAATTCTTTTTTTTTTATATTTACTACAAATGAATAATAAAAATTAAAAAAAATAAAACTCCGCTGTTTTCAGAAAATGTGACTTTTAACTGAACTTGCATTGAGTTTCAAACAAGAAGCGACGCATTATCATCATTGTTATTTACCCAACATAATAGAGAAATTATTACAGTGGCGAAGAAGCTATGAAGCTAGGCTGTAGTCATTTAGGATGATTCTGCATGAGTTTCGGTTATTTTACTGCCGATATTGTGAAGTTTTTTTTAAGGCAAAGTTAGCCGAGATACTCAATTCTTCCTAAAAATGCGTAGGCCTATAGGAAATTTAGCCGCAATCTGTCGAAGTTTGTACAGTCGCTCATAAAACATATACTAACGGTTTAAAAGTAGTCGATTCTTTGGGTGTCATTACACTTTTTATAAGTTATCGTGTTGCTGACTTGGTAATGCTCCATGATGTTGTAAAATATTAGCCTTTCAAAAGTTAAAGTACCGAAAGAATCAAATAGACGGGATCAGTATCAACAACCACCCTCAAAAATAAAAATAGAAAAGGGATGACCTCACCGTGAGATATTATGCCATGTAAGCATAGATCATTTGACGTTATAAACTGTTTGTCAAGCCTATGACATTTGATCCTGCTGGTAGCGGCGTGTTCGCACAGGATGTCATGGGGCGTTTGCTGCGCCTCCTGCAGGTATCGGTGTCCAAGATACCAATAAATATCGCGTAGTACCTAAGATAGTTACGATCCGCGTAGAAGCCAGTTATAACACGTTTTTCGCTCTTTCGCAATTTCGAAAGCTTGTGAGCTGTACCGGAAGGTTTCATAAATTTTTTATCTTGGCGGTGTTCTGCACCCCATGGTGCTTCCCTGCCTCGTTCAGGGTTTAAACGCACTCAAACACAAACCCCTTTCGTTGCCTTTTGAGCAACTTGACTGTCCAAATAAATGCAGATTAGCTCTCTCCTGCATGGCCTTTTTGGACATTCTGATGTTCATGCAGAGTATGCATTAATTTTTGCTTGAAATATTGAAGAAGTATGTTCCATAGGTATGGCCTTTTGAAATCTCGGGTCGCTTATAACAGCCATTCGTCAGCTTCGCCAGTTTTCAACTTTGAACCATCAGAGTATTATTTTTGTGTTGTTACTTCAGGCTCAGCGACACCACCATTCCGTCTAGATTTTCCCCGGCATTGCGGTAGTTTGATATTTTAATAATAGAGTCGCCGCCACTTGAGATTACCTGGTTTATGTTTGTCGATATTTGGCAATTTAAGTGCGCTGAGGCAGGACTCTCTTTGTATAGTTATAAAGAGTGATATCATGCCTAAGAGCGCAACTAAAACATTCGAAAGGAATATTCTCATAAGCCCGGTCATGCGTACGCATACGAGTCGCTGAATTCTGCTAAGCGTGACCGTTTTTTGCCTAACCTTAGGATATCAGGATAGAGCTGCATAGGTTAGCGTAGGTAGTAATGTTGTGGTATAAAACCACTATATCATTTCTGGATTTATATCCCATGTTTTACTGAGTAAAAGTTGGCGGGTAGGACGACTCCTAGTCATCTTTTCGGTCAGCTATGTCAAGTGACGGTTTCAAGTTAAGGCTTTGTCAACGTGCGACACCCAAGTACTTCACTATGCGAAGTATTGCCTGTTGTTACTTCTACATTTACCGTAGCTGTCTCAAAAAGGATAGCGGGAAGGGCTCAAGCCTGATGAGCAAGCTGCATGGACTGGTATTTCTTAGTTGAGCGCTGCTAATGTGTCGCGAATCGGTTTGGCTAACTGGATGAATAGGCGGATGTCACGTAAAAGAACGAGTTCGTCTTGCTTTCTTGGTTTTTCGTTCATTTTCACTAGTGAATTTATACGCTTCGAGCTTTCAAAACAGATTCACTTTTCGTCCATTGTTAGCAAACAATGCGAAAAAAACTTTCTTTTTAAAAACAAAAGCTATCAGCGAATGCTCTTTATTTGGTGCAAAGTTTGACATTTTCATTGTTGGAGAATGCAATTTTTTGCGCTGCAATAAGTGCTGGTATAAAGACTAGTCATTGCTGTTGCATGTCTAAGCTTAAAAAGTAATCACCACTACAGACAACCTGTAGTCTTCTACACATTTTTGAAACTTCTTTCATTTAAATTGAGAAAGGAATGCGTCTTTAGTAAAACTAGTCTTAATTACCCTTCAGCTAATGCGATAATTATGAAATTCACAAATCATAAATTCTGAGTTAGCATAGGGTAATCTGTCTTTTGGTTCCTTAAGTAGAGGCAAATAAAACACATTTTTTATTAAGACATGGATCAAACCAAATAATGAACTCACGATTGCGTTTCATTGCGTACATTTGCGACGAGGTTCGGATTTGATTAGATGTCCCTTTGGTCTAAAGCAAACACATCTGATGTTCCTAAACGATTTTTACGTACAAACATAACTCTCAGACACGGTTTGTGGGAAGAAAGTATCATTTTTGAACACGTACATGGCATTGCAGTTGTCGTCAAAGAGCATTGCTAGAGATGCATGTTAACTGAATTTGGTGCTGAACGATGGTCCGACATGGCATACTTTTCGTGACAAATTCAATTTACTGGTAGGAAAGTTCGATGATGGGTGGGGATGATCTTCAAAAATGTATCTGTGAGCTTGCCGCAAAGATCACTGGACTTTTTACTTTGACATTGGGTTGGTTGACGCATGCATTGGCTTATTTCAATAAATTACGAACTCTCGCTAAATTTATTTGCCAAGATCGTTTGTGTTATTGGTGAAATACAAGCTGATAGATGCACATGGAAAAGTGCGTAAAAGTTGGTATTTCAGGATTGAATCCAAAAACAGTATTAAGGAATATTAAAACAAAACAAAAGGAAATCCATGGGGATATCACAAATTAACCAAAAAAAAAAAAAAAAAAAAAAAAGCAAAGAACGTCTCCCTCTAGATGAGTATCTTATTCATTATAGACACAACGACTGGGATTGAATTTTGGATCGACCGACTTTTATTTACTATTGATTGTTTTACCCCGGCATTCCTTTGCTTTCTGTATGCAAGTCGTTCGGCCGGAATAGGAAAGGGGATCAGGAGAGAGGAAAATTGCGTTTGTATTATGCCGTTCATGTATGTTTGTACGTTCGAAATGAACGTAAAGTATCAATTTATTACAATTGCTTTTAGAAATAATAACAATGGTTGTATAATAAAATATTTCTTTGTAATTTATTAAAAATTCTGTTATTTTAATTGCTCTCCTCCATCTATCGGTGAGTTAATAAATTGCAACAAATAACAATAAAAAATTGGAAAAAAAAAGGAAAATAGAAAAATTCTACTATCACAGCACATAAATTAACTGCTGCTACAATAACAAAAACATTTGAACTGTATTACTAGCAGGACTATTTGTGACAAGCGATTTCTACTATTTTGCCCTTAAAAAAAGTGCATTAATAAATGTATATAAAGTAATAATTTTTTTTTCTTCTCGCTTCGTTACAGCCGACAAATTGAAAATGTGGCCAGGCACGGGCGGTATAAGACGTAAAAAATATCCTATGATCAGCTTATAAGCAATAAGAAAAACTTGTTATACATCTTGAAATTAAAAGGTGTTTTTCGCAATCTAAGTACATCGGGTGACGGCTCTCTACGATCAGTATTATTGCGTGAACTTAGTTGGAGACAAAAAAAACTTGACACAAATTTTTACCCCCAGTTTCGATTATTATTTAATGAAATGCTAAAATAGTTTTTTTTTTTCATTTTTTTTTTTTTTCTATATTGGTTACGTAAGGAAATAAACTCTTATTGCCTGCGATAAAAACGAAACATTTGTTTCACATTTCTTTTTTTTTTTTTTTTGCAAGGCAAAATAAACGGTGATTAACATGCGAATGTTTATGTATATGCGTTAGTGCACTTTTAAATGTTTTAGGCGACCTCTTCAAAGTTGAACGAAGAGATTTGTAAATAATCAATTTAATTACAATGGGAAAAAATTGCATTCAATATTGCTCGTTGCTGCAAATGTTCATTTCGTTGTCGTTGTTGCTCACAAAAATCTCTTTACGCCCTATAATCATAAATAACCGACTTATGGTGTTATATATGACATATGTTCACTAATAAAATATTTATATTTACATAAGTGCATAAAATACAAAAATTTATGCTTTTATGCGAGTTTTTGATATAATAATAAAACATTTTTAATCTTTTGCCAAATGTCTTTGTATATATATATATATATATATATATATGTATATGTGTGTGTGTGTGTGTCTGTGTGTGTTTGTGTGTAGGCTAAATGTTCGTTTTCGTTTATAAGCACACGCCAGACAATTATTGTAAATCATGTATATATGCGAACATCCATATAAATGTACGCATGACTACTACAAATGCATGCTAAATATACAATTTCGAATATTTATAATGATTTCCATTTCCATTGAATTTCCTAATCATGACAAAAAAATAAAACAATAAAAAATCTATATATTTGAGGGGAAAAAAGATTCGCGAAAGAGATACAATAGTGCGAAGATAGATCCCCCCTGCTGGGAATGTAAACATTTCTTTTAGGTTTAGGTTTCCAATGCTCAAGTGACTTCACTAAGTTTATACATTTACTCTTATCGTCATAAAAGACGCTTGATCTTTCTGTAAAAACAATACCTTAGCCAGTTAGCTGTGAAATTTCTTACCCGTACTTGGTGATTAAAGTCAAGCGATCACGTGTATGCGCGTCAAACTCAATACAAATGGTCGCATAATAAATTTTACGGAAAAATCAAAGTAAAGTGAATTTCTATTAGGCAAAAAGTTAATAATTCATTGTCGCCAAAATTATCGCAATTCAAAATAAATGAAATGCTAAAAAATTATGCTAAAATTCATAAATATAAACAATTAGTTTTTTGCTTTTTTTTTTTCTTTTTGTATAACATGTAGGAGGTAAAGAAGGAGGTGATGACATTCACAAGCTATACATATATTTTCTTATAGCACTTCTTCGTCCAAGGTGTTGCAATTGTGGCCATTGTCCAGTGGTATTTGTCCGTACCGCCCATTTTCTTGCTATAATCAGGAGCTGATTTCAATTTTTTTTTTTTTTTTTTATAAGTTATATAAGACTTACTTGTATTGTAAAGCAAACGTATCACTAAACGCGATTCGTATTACATTCAAGAGAAATTTTGATTATTTATATCGTCTCGTAATTATTTATTTCATCTGATGCGTATTAACGTCAAATGCACTAAAATGATGTTTTGGATTGACGGCTATGCGCGTTATACGCAACTAATTTGTTAAGCATCTTCGAAATCGAAATTATAGTCGAAAAGAAAGAAAGAGAGTTAACTTAATTCGATACTTACCGTCTTGCTTTCTTTGCAATGGATATCTTTTTGTGTAGAAGATCGTGTTTGGAAAGCGGTCTGATGAATCTAGAGAAAAAGATGCTGGAACAGTTTAATCATGGTCTCCAGGAAATTAGTGAATTGCGGGCCGGGCTTTTGAAGCACGGCGACCAAGTTCGTGCGAACATTGCTGGGATGCGGAATGAGACGTTAGCTGCTGAACTGGCAATGAAACAAGATCTTTGGTTAAAAGGAGCAACAACACCGAGCGCAGCTTCGTCGCTTGAACAGGTTTAATGTTATACTGATTCGCTTGCCAGTTGGTATTAAAAATTTGAAACAGTTTGCATTAAAAATTGACGAGCGATGCAAAGTTAAGGCGATGTACGCAGGCTTACAGCACTGCTGGTACTTACCCACTGAAAAGAAGACTTTAATTAAATTTTGTACGCGATACGGTTATGAATGGATATGTCAAAGACCCTTCTAATATGTTGAGCTACGTTTTCGAGGGCAGCATTCATTCACGTATTTACTTGGATAATCATCCAACTCCTGCAAACTAGTATCGATTTTCCGTGCGTTACGGAAAAAGAAGATCATTATAAGGCTTAGCTTGATTAACGCCAACATCCCCAAGGCGAAGATAGCTCAGTTGAATGATTGCTTAATGACAATACAAGTACAGTTGTTCAACAATTTTCCTGAAAGGAAAACTTTCTGACCTTGTTGGTGTTGCTCTTTGCTCGATAATGTTTTTCTATCCAGTCGTAAGCTTAAGTTAAGCGATCTCTTTTCTTTTCTTAGAATTTCGATTTTCTGCTAATATTTTGTATTGTGCTATTATAATGCTACCTCCTACGAATGCAAATAATAATTTCAGTAATATCATAAGCAATAATAATACATTTTGTTCCCTGGTAAATAATGCTGGCTATACCTGTTAGGTTGGCCATATCCAGGCACTGAGGTCCAGAATTGCCGCATGTGAGTTAAATAGTATGTATAATACTTCAGATGTGGATGATCAGATCAATATTTTGAACATTAATTTGGATTTCATTCATGAGATTATGCCCAAAGTTAGACATAAGACTGTTGTCAACTGTAAGCCTTGGTTTAGTTTTAGTGAAGTAGAATTTCATCTTTCTCCGGATAATCTGGCTTACAAGGTGTATTTACGTGACAAGAATGATGCTAATGGGGGGACCTGTTGTACAATAACTAAGTAATTAAGGGCTTTGATTGATTTGATCCGTAGGGTCTTGCGCGACTTACATTTTTCGAAGTCAGATATTGCTTTGATAGAATGCCATCTCTCGAATCGTTTACAATTTGTATCTGTGGGTGTTGTCAAGCGTGAGTCGTTAAAGGTGCGCAGTGGTGTACCTCAGGGCTCGATCATTGGCTCTTTGCTCTTCACCGTGTATATGAATGATTTCTTTAATATGGTTAACCTAGCTTCGTGTACAGCTTACGCATTTGCTGATGATTTGCAGATTTTATTTACGGGGAGGATTGATAATTTTGAAATACATCAAGCTAACATTGACAACCATTTGGACTGCATATCTCGTTGGATGGCTGCGAATCAACTTGAGGTGAATTGAGTTAAAACATTTACGATAATGTGTTGACTGCAGAATGTACCTCTGAATGTGTCTATGATTAGTTAATCTATTCCGTTGTACCGTTCCGACGGAATGGTTCCTTTGTTTCAATAAATATTATCTGATGATGTATAAAAATCGATCGAAAACGCTATATCATCCCTCATTCTTGGTATCACTTTCGCTAATTCCAGACATTAGTGGTAACTTTGTCTTCTTGTCCGGAGCACACTATGAAACGGTAGGTGTATCCAATGAGGCTAGATCAAGCAAATACGTTTGTAATTTGTATGATCTCTCGCAAGATGTTTTTCATAATGTATATAAAAACGTCAACTACTAAGAAATTAGTGTGAAAACTACTCAGCCACATTGTAAATATATAATTATTAAAACAACAATATAATTACAAAAACAAAATATGAAAACAATAATAAATGTTTCATAAAATAATGTTAAGTTTAGTGAAATTATGTAGAACCGACTTCGTATGTTGATGTATTTTTCAGTATGATGTATGTATCAGTATGTGAAGATCTAATATATAAATATTATTCGTTACTCTTTTCTTCCTTTCTATCCGAACACATTTTTTTTTTTGGAGATCGATGCTACTCGTCGATGCGTTATTGTTTAGAAGAGCGAATCTTAGTGGACTCTTCTATGCGGAAGAATTAAGTTATTAGTTGTATCTGATGAGTGTTAATGTATGACGAATAATTTCCATGTAGATACCCGCGTAAACTTATCTTGAGCCTCAAGAATCCATATGGATTCCATATCTGTCTATACAAGATATTCGAGATATTCGATTAATTATATCGCCGATTATCGCAAATTTAGATATCATACAATGTCCATAGTTTTTGCATGTGCTTGGACGGACTGACAGATTTAAATTGCTGTTCCCTCTCCCAGTTTTATTAGAAGCAGAAGTTAATCGCGAAATTTAAACAGTTGTAACTGTGTGTATGGGATTCCTTAAAACAAGTAGTTATTGTAATGCTCTTGCAAATCGTTTCTTTTTTATATTTTTATTACTCTGCTTAATTTCAAAATAATTGATTTTAAATATATTTTCGGTTAGGTTTAGTAGTTAATATCAAGATTAAATCGCATATATAATCAAACTTCTCTTCCGTTACGTTTTGCGTACATATCAGTATAAACCGTAAATCATAATCATAATCATCGTTACAGTAGATGTAAATAAATGTTTACGCATACCTTCGGTATTTATTGCACTTATGCATACGTCTGCATATACAACCACATGTTCGATGATATAAAAAATGATGATATATCGGAACGCAGCATCATTTTTATATATACATATGCGAAGAGTTTGATACATGACTGACCGCATAGAAAAGGCAGAAGGAAAGAAGAACGAAAGGAAAAGGAATTGCTTTGTAACGAGATATATGAGCAAGCAAGCCGGCTGAACGCGTAATTGCTTACATCTATTTATACACGGATAGATTGTCGATAGTTTGTGTGTTTCATAAAGTACAATAACACCGACCTTAATTTTCTAATGTACCCATAATTGTCGTCAGCAATGCTCGCACAATAATAAAAAATGCACTTTTACAGCAATTGGTAGACGAACACATATTCACAATCGGTTTAATAATCGAGTTAAACGTTCTTTTCATTATTTAAATGAAAAGATGGGCTTCGGAGTTGGGCATAATGTAATGAGATGGACTTAGCCACATTTATATCTCCGCTGTTGTCTATTGATAGGAAGGACTTCAACATCTATCTTCACTTACCAGCGTTGCCGTTTCGTTCGGGCCCATTAAATAAACGAGTTAAACAAAATCAACTGAGATAGCCCATATTATTGGGGTTTTGTTTCGATTAAAGACGGCGCTCTACCACATGATGAAATATATTTCAACGCAAACTAGAAAAATATCAGCATAATTTTCATAACATAGCAATGAAATATGGTCGGAGAATATTTGCATAATAACATGCGATGTATTATTATGGTTTAGTATATCGTGGCTGTGTATATAACGGCGGTACAGCAAATATATTATATAAAAATATTTAGAGAAGAAAAGCTCGCCATGGATTTTTCACAAGTCGTGAAGCACGCTACATAGCTATCAGGAAAGCATAATCTGATTTAGATGTCAAAGCCTGATTGCCGCTGAAACGATTCGTATACACCGTCTTCATATATCTGAAAGACTGAATGAACTATAAGATACATTTTTACGGAGAAAATATCCGCCTTCTATTTATTAAGCCGATACAATAATACGGGACATCAATGGTTTTGGGGAACATCGTTCATACAGCTACGATAAAAAATGATGACTTTTAAATGATTTATTTAGCTATAGACAATCGTTTGTCTTTCTCTATGATTTTCTCTGTGAAATTTCGAGCCTAATAAATTGAGGAAGAAAGCTAGAAGCTGGGGCAAATGCTCGATATAGAAGGGCGTCCACGATAGCAAAGTTTTAACGAACAAACGTTGAGTAAATACTGAAAATTTATAAAATGTGGTTTTCATCTCAGATAAAATATAAATACTTATCGGATTCGTTGACATAATCTATAGTATTGCATAACCAAGCTTTGCCTCGGACCACAGACTACTTTTCATTTAAACTAAATTCTAAAGAAAATTTAATATTGAATTTCAATCGTAAGGATTAAGTCTTATCTTCAGTAAGAAAACAAGTAAAAGGCAAAAAAGAAATAAAAGAAAAAATGTAAATTCTCTCTTTCCTTGCTTAAGGAAAAAATTTCAGTTTTATCAGGAAAATATACTTGTATGCGAAATGTTTTCTCTTGATTAAATTATCAGCAGAAATTTTTGCATTTCACGAAATTCTCTCTTTTCACATTTTCATAATCTCATTTACATACACACAGATACACGGGCAGACAGACAATAACACACCAAACATATACATAAACGCATGCAATCGTATTGTAGATTTTTCGCATATGCATTGGTATTGCAACGCGTGTGTAATATGTTTTCGGCTTTTCGTTACATTATCTCCTCTCGGTGACTTTACCGTCAGGTTTCTTTACAGAATGTTGAATGTTTCTTAGATGGCAGGTGTTGTTGTTTTTTTCTTTTTTCTTTTTTCTGTTTTCCTTTTAACCCCACCATCATGTTAGCGAGATATACTAGATTTGTGATTCCGTATAACGCATATAATCTTGATTAGGCCGGCAAAACTGGCCTTGAGAAACTGATAATTAAGTGATAGTGATCGCTATATGCCTAAATCTTTATCTGCAACAGGCGAAAGTGTATAGCCTATAATCGAAAGCACATATCAGCTTGAAATTCGTGACTATCAACAACGATCATGATTTTTTTTTGATTAAAATTTTGCTGAGAAAACGAGTGTACCTCGCCTATTGGCTTTAAAGCAAAAACAAAAACACAATTATGACATCTAGCCATCTATATAAGGTATTATCTCTAAAACTAAGTCAATATAGAAAAAGTGTTATTAAAGTCGTCAAGAGCGACCATCTGACACGTTCCTATTTAACGAAATAGTTTGTTAACTAACGTACTGTTAGTTGCTCATGGGCACGGTGCTGGGTATCAAAGAATCGCCCTAAAGCGAATATAAATTCTTGCTTGTATTTTACTGCAACCGTTATACATTTCAACCGCATTAGACGGTGTGTTTTTGTTTTCCTTTTTTTTTATTTTTTTTTTGTTTTTACGAATATCAAATACTTTGAGTACATACATACCTATATAAGCTTTGAAAACTACTTTCGTTGCGTTTTTTTGAGAGACTTTCTAGCTTTCTCCATACCTGGGGTTACGTACATATTTTGACGTGTTTACGTGCTACAAATATAGTTCGTTACTATTATTGTAAATTTTGTTCCTCATATTTATTTTCGTCATAATGAAATGTTCCCACTTTTACACAGCAGCTTCCACACACATTTTCACGAAATACAGTTCAATAAATACCATGGCGAAGGTGCGTTAGTAATCGATAGAATGCTTCTAACAAGATACTCTTCCAATTCGTGCACATGCAAAAATACCAATAGAAACAACATTATATATAATATACAAGAAGTAAACGTATACACACATACATATATCTTTATTTTATTTTGTGGTAATTTTCGATTATTGATTATTTCCTTTCAGTGGCGGCAAGCTTCAGATTTCCTTCACTTGTACAATATCGATATCGTTCGTCTATTTGGTGCGGTTTGCACTACATGTGCTTCATAGATAGATAGATGCCTTTGCTTTTAAATTTGCTCAACTATTAATGAATGTAGAATGACTTTATATATACATGTGTGGAAACGTAGAGTAAAATTTTTGTACAATTAGCCAAAAACCACATATGTGCCGTACGTGAGCTGTTTGTCTAAACTGCTTCTTTCTTTTTTTTTTTTTTTTTTCTTTCTCTTCTTCCCCTTTTTATTATTAATTTGGGAACTTTGTTAACAAATTTTATTAAAAAGGTTTTATCGTTATACGCTTTGATGTATTGGCGCACAAAATGTTCATATTTTTAATGTACTTTGTTACAACAACGAGTTTTCTTCATCTTTTCAAAATCAACTAACGTCAATATAGAAAATTGTACTTTTCTCGATTGGAAAATTTTAACATCATCAGCTGACAAGATGTTTGTTTTTAAATCTACTTAAAAATTTATTTTCAGTTCCCTTACCTCCGGCCAAATTTTGGCTTTACTTCGGTCTTTAGCTAAGTTGATCTCATTCTCATAATGATAGGATTTTTTCAGTTGTCTTCTAACATCTTGGAATAACCAACAACTAACAAAAAAAGACAATATCTGGGAATATTATTATTATCTTATTGAATATTGTCTAACTGAACTAAGGCTATCCTTACGTTCTGGGCAAAAAGAAATCGACCAGGTATCTGATAAGATTATTCAATATTTATCTAGAGCGTGGCGGGAAGTACTTGTATGAACTATGGTTTGCAGCTATTCGAGACTTGTAGCCAAACTATATGCATTTTATACATCTAAGCGAAATTTCGAAAAATTCAATATTTAATCAATGTATTGGTTGTGGATTCGATTAACACAACTCTTCTCATCGAAGAAGTATGGGTAGCCTGCTGCCATGAACTTATTGGGTCATTTCACGAAATATCAAATCAATATATGAGCAAAAATTTTTTACACATGTTTGTACATTATTCGAAGTATTCGAAATATTTTTAAATAATTAAAAAATTAGAAATAATGTTTTTCTAGATCATCAACTTAAGGTTGCATGCAGTTTTTTACTAAATTAGTCATGAAACTAATATTCTATACTTAGTGAAACGCGTAGAATTTTTCTTAAGCTTTAATATAAAAAAATTTGTGGTTTTCGAAAAAATCGGTCAATCATATAAAATCGCCATATATATAAAAATCTATATTTCAAATATTTAATATCAGTTAAATTTAATTAACGAAAAGAAAAATAAATAAATAAAAAATAAACTAAACTTTACGCTCTTCAATAAGTAAGCGTATCGAAGCAAATCGTCTGAGGATTACAAATGCTAGGAATATGGTCAACCACGGAGAATGCGTGTAAAAAGAAAAGCTTTTGAGTAATTGTAGCTCTGGCTAGCTTAACGTAGTAATTACAATCGAGAAGTTGGCTTTTTGAACCCAAAATATACATTTAAAGAATCAATTAAGACCAAAAAGAAACAAGTACGAAAATTATATTTTTGTTGTGACCGAATCCTTTATACCCATCACCGTTATCCTGGAGAAGACAAAAAAGGTTAAAGAACGCCAAAAACGCTTTGTCGCATGGGCGTCTCCTTGGAAATATTCAAGTCACTTTCAAATTCTTTTGCAAATTTTTAGGCGATAGCTTTGTTTTCGCTAACAGGAGAATGTTCACCACAAATACTACACAGTTGCACACACAGACAGATGAATGGACGAACAGACGGACATGTTTATGCGCATTTCAAATTTGAAACTGCCCAAGAATTTATGCGGTTTTGAAGCATGCTCTTGCGTGTTTTATAACAGTTTTGAAAAATATTACAATGATGAGACACTTTTGCGGAAGCGTGGCCTATTGTTTCAATTTTCATAAAGGTTCTAAAGCATCGTCCATGGAATGTACGTTCAAATTTTTGTGGATTTATATGCTGCTGCTGCTTATGAGTAACAAGAGAAAAACAAATTTTTTATTTTATTATATAGAGGTATCCTTACGTTACACAGTACTGTAGGCACTGTACTGTCCTTCGACCGATTTTCAATACCAGTCTGTGTCCAATGTTTAAGTCAAATTCGAAATCGATAGCTTAATTTTTGCCGCCAGGAGAATATTTACACCAAACATTACACAGGCGGACAATCGGATAGACGAACAGGCGGTCATACTTAAATCGACTCAGAATTTGATGCTGATCAAGATTCTTATACTTTGTTGGGTTGTTGAAGCTTTTCTCTGGGCGTTGCAAACGTTTTGATAAAGTGTGTATATCCCCCATCCTTCGATGGTAGGTATAAAAAAAGCGATCAAAAATTGCTGAAAAAGAAAAGATTACACTGCAACGTCTTCAAATTTAATTGAAATAGTGACGAAATTTACCGTTAGGGTAGATTCGTGATTCACTTTTCTCCTTGCTTTGCTTTTAGACATGTTATTGACACTGATGGTATATAGACCGTATAGCCTGTATGTGCGATAAATGAAATCTCATATTGTCTTCTACATCTTGTAAGAAAAGACACGAAAACTTCACTGGGTTTTGTATAGTGAGGTTGCAATTCTAGTGTAGGAAAAAATGATCTACGCCTGCTCGGAATGTCGTACTGTAGGAACGCTAACTGAGTTAACTTTGTACGTTAAATTGCACATGTAGTCGAGTCGACTGAAAAATGGAGTATTTAACGTGATTGAACCGTGGACTGAACACTGTTAGTTTAAACCATTTATTCACTAGCAAACGAAATGGAAACAAACAAGTAAGAACATTATTGCCTGGCAAGCGCGACCATTAGACACTCTACACCACTTTGCCTAATAAATAAATCATTTTCATGATAATATACCAATAATTATAAATTACTTATATTCAAAGGCATGCCTTTTGTGGAAGCTCTCATATTGAAGGAGGCTCGAAACTTCAACTAACATGGTTAGTTTTTATATCAAATGGTTATAATCAATTAGTTTTCTTTATGAAATATTGAAAGTTACACCTTTTCCATATAAAAAAAAATTACGTTTGCGTAGTATGTACGTTTGTATGGTAGGCGGGACAAAAAATTGCCGCATTCGATCAAAACATTTCTAACGCATTTACCGGAAACGCTATTGCTCAGCGATTTTCATTGAGAAATTGTCAAAATATTTTTCCTATGAGAAATTTTCAAAATATGCCGTTGCATTGGCAGCGATCGAAAAAGTGGGCCGAATATCTCAAAACATGTTAGTAATTGCGAACTTTAGATCGTATGGCAAAAATATAAAGATTCAGAAACTGATTAAGTTGTACGGCACGTTATATATATATCCGCACAACGATATTCATATCAATGTGTCACGTAGAGGCAGCAACGAAAGTTCAGACTGCTTTCTACGTGATGTGTAACGAAAAGGCATGCTACGCATATTCAAATTTGGAAATCAATGCAAAGATTGAACATAAAAGTTGTGTGATCTTTATAGAGCAGTTTGGGCAGTGGGTGGAAAAAGAACGAACAGCGCTACCGTTTAGGTTATATTTGGGGAATTGGCGATAAGTTACAGAACACAGTTTTCATTAGTGTTTAGCGGAATGAAGAAATGTAAGGTTTTGTATCTAAGAAAAGTTCATATGCATTTCTCTCCGCACCTTTTGGTACGGATGCGCCACAACCAAAGTGTACGAAGTATTTAAACGATGTGATCTCTTCCTTAAATGGGGTATCGAGGATCGGTTATAATTTTGATTGCAATCTTTCATCAGAAGTCGGAAAAGAATCCAGATTTTTCATGCAAAGTACGCGTTCAATGGTTTACTTTGAGATTTTGGTCTTATGAGGGAATTTATCTGTCGACATATTTGTGTGTAGGCTTTGGAGGAAGGAAACGATAACATCACAATCACTATGGATCATTAATAGCGTCAATGCACGATGAAGAAGGAAAACTAATTCAATTCGATAAAGTTGCTCTGTATAATAGTCACTCAGAGTACACAATTTGCGGACGAAAAACCTGAAAATGTTGTTAATTAATAATATTTCTCTTATCGTTCGCAAATTTCTTTCTAAGCGATACTTTGCTCTTATGGACGTTAACTGTAAAAGAAAAATTGATACAATTAAAGATATTTGCAGCAATAGTTTTGTCAGTGCCTTAATATCTCTTAGTTATTATTATTATTAGTATTATTAACGTCATTTCGTCTTTATATATCTATCTATTCGGTGCATATAAAAATATATGAAATTAATTAATAGAAGTAAGAACATTGCATGGATGTTGCGTGTCGGCTAAAATAAAAATAAATAAATAAATAATTAATTCAAGGTATTGCAAGCATCTGCCGCATTAAAAACTTTTTCTTACTTTCTCTGCTTTTCCGGTGAAAGTGAACCTGGTGTCTGGGCAAAAACTGCTCTTGTTGATGATAATGCGTAGTGTTTTTTTTGTTGTTGTTGTTGTTGTTTGTACATCCTTTGCACACCGTTGATATTATTATTATATTACTTTATTATGACCTTTAAATTCTTTGGCTATTCTGCTTAATCAGTAAATTTCTTGGTCACGCAAACTTCTCTTTGCCCTATTAATTTGTCGTTTGACTAAACTTGCAATCAGCCCAACAATGAACAGAAATGACAACAAGAAAAAATTCTTTAAAATTTCCATTTTTCCTTTCCCTCTTTTCCCACTTACGCTCATCAGGTACACGGTAATGCTTTTTGTGTTTGGTTGTGCGTTTATATGTTTGTATGTATGTGTAAATTGCTGTGTTTAAAAAAACTCGTTCATCTGTGCTCTGTTAGAATTTATCTTCCATTATAGATAAATGCCTGTTTGTGCCAAAGCTAATGTATAATGTATCCCTTTAGATGTATGAGTGTATGTGTTTTATACCCTTTTTTTTTTTACCTTTAAAACTAAATTAAGTCAAGTTATCCTTTGGGTACATCAGCTGACGTACGCACATGAACAAAGCATTTAGCATTAAAATAAACATAAAAGTCCACTTACGTTTATTACCGTACCGTAGTGTAACCCCATATATATATATATATATATATATATATATATATTTACTATACATGTATAGTGTATGTATGTGTAAGGATATGTCTATGTTTGTGCGTGGACTTTTTTGTTTTTTATCTATTTTATCTCTTTGACGTTCGGTTTCCTTAACTTTAGGTTTTTCTTTAAAGTTATTTGATGATGTGATAATTTGTAAACTTTTACCAGCGATTACTTTCTTCCTTAATTGATTACATTTTAAGGGTGATGCTAATTACGATAATGACGATACCGACGATACCGAACTTACATAGTAACAATGATAGTGGCAGTAGTAAAAGTAGTAGTGAAAGTAGTAGTAGTAGTAGTAGTAGTAGTAGTAGTAGTAAAAACTGTGTCCACGTCCATCGCAATTCAATTTTTTAACATTAGAGAGGTCTCGAAAATTTAATTATTGATCCCTTCAACTTGTGTTTATAATGCAATTTATTTTAGGTCAGATAATTTTTTTTTTTATACGCCCAGCGTTACTTCCCCGCAAACATGTGCCGAATGAGCATAGTTAGCATATATTGCTGAGGACATCATTCATATGCCGTGCTTGTAATGTGTGCTGAGTAAATTTTACTTAAATTCATACGCATACACAACAAATTTATGTCCCAAACACAATCATACATACGCACGTACATAATGCTGTGAAATCGTTATTGCTAGTCTTGTGAGCTAATGTCAGCAATATTTTGTGCTGCTGCACATGTTTACTTTTATCCAAGAGTGACTAGCATGAAATATTCTCACATCAATTTTGTCGTTTTTCTCTATGATCCTTTGCTTTCTATACCCACCACAATCAGGAAGGAAATTGAATAGGGAATATTAAATTTCTTCTTGCATATGAAAGATCTAGAAAAACGTTCTTGAAGGTCCATGAAGCGTACATACTATCGTTTAATGTGTTCTTCAAGTGAAAGTGGATGATATCATCGATTGGTTCCTTCGTCGTTAGAAATCTGATTGGTGCAACAAAATGGAACATAAAGCACCATCATAGCCACTTTCTATGTAAAAGCAAAGTATTGAGCGGACGCGAAATTTTAAATAAAATATTAAACATTGCTTCACGAACCTTTGCACTTTTATATTCAGAAGAAGAAAAAATTCAGAAATTCATTCCTTCTCTCATATAATTGATTAAATATTCATTCAATCAATTAGAAAAAGGGGGAAAATTAAAATGTACCGTTTTTTAATGCAATATCTGATTGCTTAATTATTTAGTGATAGTATCGCGTTTATTTAAAAGAAAAGAAAAAAAAAAATTAAGAAAACCTTTTTGCATTTGATGAAGGGTATTCAAGAGTCGCTTCAAAGCATCTTTGCATGATATTTTTTCATCTTTTTAAACGTTTATAGCAACCACAGTATGTGTTATGACATGAAAAGGCGCGCGCGCACACACACATATGCAAGTTTGATAATTTATTATAGACTAACGCAACCAAAAGTGATTTAACACACACACACACACACACACACACACATGTATATATACATGTATAAATATATATATATATATATTTATATCAATATACATATATATATATATATATATATATATATATTCATACATTTTTATAGAAAATAGACTTTTATACATTATTAGTGTTGAAAATGTAGCTGCTTTTCCCTATCAGAAAATACTGCTACTGACACTACTAGATAACTGCAACAAGAGCAGCAACATTTGCACATACACCGATGCTCCACATATTACAACTGCTATTACTGCATTGCAGAGGGTATGCTTACCATTTGCTTGTTAGCTCTTACATAGCTACTGTTGCCGCCTTGTTCCCGATACACCGCAAAATCTGTGGAATTGCATGCTTTAGAGGAATAGAACGACGACTAAACATTTCAACGGATAGAGCTTTTTCCGCTTTTGTTTTCATTCTTTTTTTTTTTTTTTTTTTTGTGCAGAACAGTAGAAGTAAAATTAACATCAGGACTAGTAACAATCAGCAACCTTGTGTAAGTGAGCGGGTGAGTGCGTTCATCGCAAACAGACTAATTCAATTTGCAATGCAACCAAACTGTTAATGACAGTAATTATGTCAAATTGAGATATTTTTACTAGAAATTTTTCTACATATTCGCGTAGTTGAGAATATTGATGCTCGTACATGTATACGCGCATATGTTATTTGTTGCGCAGAATTAAAACTAGCACATACTTGAAAAATATACAAACTTATTAAAACTTTAAAAGATGTAATCATTTTTGTTATCCCATGAAAGTATAATATATTCTGTCCATGTAACACTTATTTCGTCCAACTACAGGAAATGTTAAATATCTCGTACCTATTACGAATAAGTTGTACAGAGGATTATTTTTCTTTTCCATTCCCCCATTCCCTCTCTGCATTTTTCTTATTAAACAATAATTGAATTAAACAATTATGAGAGCTAGTAGCATGTTGAAGTGCAATAAAAATGAACATCTCTGTTCTAAGAACAAACTGATATACAAATCACTCAAATGATTTAATTTAAAATTATGTTTTTTAGCTTCGACAAGAAAGTAACATGATTGTAAACTACGCATAGGCTAAAAGGGAAAATTGAAATTGTTAGAACGTTGCGAAAGACATCAACTAAGCTCAGCAAACATACTCTCTCACCTCTCTTAGCAATAGCAAAACTCTATCTAGGGTTGCCCCTAGGTCAAGTGCAAATTTTGCGTATAATTTGGAAGATGTACAGATATATGGCACATCACGATGCTCTATACACTTATGCCGACGTGTTTTCCAATCTTCGAAACAATTATTATAATCGATTTTCGACGTGGAACGTCCTTCAAGGTTTTGTGCGATTCAGCTTGTATCGCTTCAGTCGGGTCAAAACGATGTCCCCAGAGTGGTCTTTCGGTTTTAGTAAGTACCAAAAGATGTGAGATGGACTTAAATCAGATGAATAAAATGGCTCTAGAACGAAGGTGACTTTGACGCCGCCTTTTAGTGATTGGCTCACCTTTTGGGCAATATTCGTTCGGTTGCTTGTTTGTTTTCGAGTCGTATGCGTAAGTCCAAGTTCCATCTTTGATAATAATGCGCTCCATGATCGGTCGGTAGTCAGAAATCGTCTTCCCACAGATTTCAACGTGACGCTCCTTTTCGAAGAAATTGAGCATTTTTGCTATCAATCGAGATTTGACGCGTTCCAGGCACAAAACATGATTTCAATGTTGTTAACTCGTCCTTTTGAAATGCAAAAGTATCAGTAAGGTCCCGAATTGTTAATTTTTGGTTTTGAGCACCGCGTCTATGGCTTGTTTGACGTGACTTTCATCGATTGAGTTTGCTCGTCGTACGGGACACTTTTCGCCGCATCATTTAATTATGTAAATAAACAATATTGTGTGTACAGGTCACTAAGTTTCTCTTTTACCTAAGCCCAATATGAAAAAGATTACAATTTAATTTTGGAGATACTGCCTTCACCAAAACATGGCCGTTTAGCCACATGCAGGCTGTATGATTTCGGTCGCAGATTAATGAATTCGTGGAACGTAAGGCCAATTACCTGATTATATATCACTTGTAGCCTCCGTTAGGGTAATAAAAATTTTATAATTACTATTTTCTATTGTGCGGGATGAGAACGCACTTCCAGCCCTAGAGATGCCACCAAAATTTGGTTAATCTCTTCTTCTGCTTCACCTCAAGATGGATCCCAATGGATTTTTGCTGTACGGTAGTTATTCTATTGAGATTAACTTTTGGGATGTCGTCGTCGGCTATTAATCTTCTCTCGTAGTACAATTTTCAGAGATTTCTAGATTTCACCTCTTATAGGATTGTTCACAATAAAATCCAATCTAGGCATCATATGGTATATGTCATCTGCACATGTGATCGTTATGTTCCAGAGTTTCCTCCTTAAGCATCATATTTAGAGTTGACGTAAAGTTCCGCCTACGGTCTAACTATTATTCATCATTTTGTTTAGTTAGTTCTTTAGATTTGTTAAATTATTATGATTTTTCTCGGTTAAAAAATCGTTTTTTTTTTTTTTCATTTATTTAACATACATCACGGGAATCCGGTCTTTATTGATTTCCTAAAAAAAAAAAAAAAACACTTTATATACACTTTAGTGTTTAAAATATTTTCCTTAGTACAGAAATGTCGGAAGAAGAGTATTTCACTCAGGTTTGAAAAACTTTCCATATACTCTCTCTAAATTTACGCATCTATCCCACAATTCAGTTAAACTTGATTGACACTGGGAGCGATGCCCGACCGCAATTAAGCTGAAAATCAAGATTCGCATTAAAATGCGATAAGGAAGCACATCATATGGCATTACTTGACCTTACGCACTTTGGCAGCTCTGCGCAACAAATGTTGTTTAAAAATTGATTGAATGTTTTCCTGAAAAAACAATTTATTTCAAGTCCGCTTTTATCGCATTTTAAAAGACTATTTCGACAACCAGTTAAGATAAGTTGCAATGAATTGAACGTTTTTAAGTTCCACTGAAATGTTGTATTCTCCCATTTTTGCATCTACTTAAGAAAAAATTTACTTAGGTATGCCACACTTACTCCCCTTTGCGATGTTGTATTCTTTCCATTATTTTTAATGTATTCTCTCACCTCTTTTCTGCCGTTTACTTTATTTTACAAATATTTTATCATTATTATTAATCTTTCAATAGATTTCCCTCATGTTAGTATCGAACACAATAGGATGGTGTAAGTATAATGAAACACACGTTATTGCTTCTTAGACATTACGAAGAATAGAATGAGTAGATTTTAGTTTCTGACAAACTTTAAATATTTAAACCTAAAATTTAACCTTGAACTAATATCATTTTACAATTATTTCCAATTTGTTCTTAAATGGCGCTTTTACCGCAAAAGATTAAATAAAAAATAAAAAATCCAACTCCTCCTCCAACTTCTCGCTCGCAAATAACTGCAGATTACTCATTTTTTTGCAATTTCCATAATCTTTTGTTCTCCTGCTATCATTAATCGACGACATATAAAAAAGTTTAAAACCTCTGTCCATTCTGTTTGCTGCATAAGTGAACGAATAAGCATTGGCGGTCCAGGAAGATATACCATAAATAAATTTATTCATGATCGGTAGGAAGTGCTTATTTCAATTAGTCAATTTTGCCTTTTTTGTTTATTTATCTAATCATCCGTTCATGAGTTTTTATTGGCATAAGACCAAGACCATAAAAAATGCTCTAACAGTTCGTAATTTCTTAAATATATATACAGTATGTATCTTGAGTGAATTTTTCTTCACATTTTACCGCATTCTGGGCCAAGAATTCAAAAAGTGAAACCCACTCAACACTAACTGCGCTACATGATCCACCATTAAATACCCTAAACCACTTTATTTAATAGAGTTATTGATAGAACGACGCTTCAAAATTGGGTGTTATGTGGAAAGTGAGAAGAAGAAGAAGAAGTGGAAGTGAGGGAGAAGTGGTCCGATCCGAAATATTTTTAATAGGATTTGTCCTTGGGTTCGAACATATCCTTGTATCGGATTTTATCGATATCTCTCAAAAATAACAACATTTTTGTTGAACAAAAGAAGGGACAGACAAATGAGAAGACGGACAGACAAGCTTAAATGATTTAGAACTGTTCGGTGCACTAAAACGTGGGACTATTATTCCTTCTACTTCTGGGTGTTGCATACATCTGCACAAATAAGTGTTTTAAGATATAAAAAGAAATTGTATGTTTCGAAATATAAACGAGCTACAATGTGTGTGTGTGTGTTTGCATTTCAAAGTGGGATCTTTGATATAATCGAATAATCGAATAATCGAATAATCGAAGAATGTTTGCCAATCCCAATCTCCTCTCTGAACCATCTTAAGTAGATCTTGACTTTCCAAATAGCTCACGTTCAAGAATATGCTCTTTTTGTAGATAACAAAGGATCTCGTTTACACCGTTTGTAGCCACTTTTTTTCCTGTTCTAATGTCTTTGTTTGTGAGATAAGATAAATCATAATGTCTGAAAAATTGAAAATCATTCAAATAATAGATGCTTATCACCCTGGGAATGAAATGACAATTGCAGTTACAAAAAGTAATAACAGCAATAACAATAATAAAAAACAAAAACAAAAACAAAAACAACAACAACAACAACAACAACAACAACAATGACAACAATAACGACAAAAAAAAGAAAAAAAAGAAGAAATATCGACAATGGCAAGAATCACTTTACCAACAATCACAAGAGTTGTCTAGTCCTTACGGCACAATTGACACTTGAACCTCTGAAGAAAGTATTTCCTCACCTCTCAGGCGCTACGAGCACTAAATACATGCACATATACGTATAAATACTTACTGAAAACAAATAAAACAAAACCATCACCCCACTCAGGCCTATAAAAGAAAAAAGCCATGTTAACAAAGAACGCAAGCATGGTACTTGAATATAAATATAGAATGCTTTACGCAATCAAATATTGAAAAGAGCGTATGCGAGAAGATGGAAGGAATGGAAAAGTGATGAGTTGTGGGTTATGTTTGGGGAAAATGGCATTAGAATTTTCTCCGTTCGGCAGCTGCAAGTACTTATGATATTTAAAAGAATATTTACCGAATGAAAACACAGATGCATATCTGTGACAGATAGATGAATAGATGGTTGAATGAAATGATATATATATATATATAAAATTCAATTCATAGGCACATGAGGAGTGAGTTGCATCCGACTTTGTACAGAGACACATACAGGATACGATTGATTAGACCATAAGGCAAAGTTACATTTCTGTTTGAAAATTCTCTCTTACGCTTTAATATGCATGTGGCATGCACTTGTTAGCTTAAAATGTATTCGTTGTTGAGTTGTCATAGTTACTCAAAGTCAGCTTAAACTTGAATGAATTAGTTCTTCTACCCTCGCTTTTACTCTAAACCAAATATTGAAAATTCTATTAACTATAGCGGGAATTTTCTATTTAAAAAAAAAAAAAAAAAATTTTGTTTTCAAAATAAATTCTAATTTGAAATTGAAAATATTAACCGCATAGACGTTAAATAAGCAAGAAAGAAATTAAAAGTAAAAATTTTTAACAAATTGATTAAAAAAAGAAAAAGCAGAAAAAGAAGTTAAATAAGAATTGCTTACCCTAAATCTGTAACTTCAACTTTTTCCATTTTCTTTCATTAAACATTGTCACTGCCGAGGGATGCAAATATATGAAAGAAGCGTAAATGCGCTCAATAGATACCCCCATAAAGTAACTTTTGAATTTATGTGAATAATTAAAAAAATATGCATAAATATTGCAAAAGTTCGTTCGGTATTTAAAATCGAATGTAATATAGAAAGTTTTCATGGGAGATATACATACATAGTATTTATTAATCAATTCTATGTCCTTAATTATTTGCTCAAAGTTTATCTTAAATTATTCAAAACTCTCTCTATTTCATTTTTATAAACTATTGTGAGGTATTTTTTACACAACTTATTAATTTTTAAAGAAAATATATGTATATTTTGATGTTTTACTTAATTCATAGAATCTCCATTTCTCCATTTAGTCATAGCCAAGGGAATGCAGCAAACGAAAATTGATTGTTCTTTCATTCTTCTTGATATTCTTTTAAATTTTTATAGTCCTTTTTATAGTCCTATCTATAGTCTGATCTAATTGAGTTCATTTGTCTATTTAGCTCTGTAGATTAAATTCGTAGAGAATTTTTCTTCTACTTAGATATAATCATTCGTCTATCTTTACTTACGACATGATCCGATGAAGATTCATTTACTTGGCACACAATCACAAGCGATTACATAATTTAGGTTATCCCGTTTTTTTTCGATTTCGTCAAAACTATGCAATGAATTTCGACCCTCATACTCAAATTGCTATAATCGGCGCAATGCTGACTCCTTGTCAACATTTACTCTGCCCGCTTGGGCAGAGTCTTGTTGGGTGGTGTTGAGGCAATTGTCTGCAAAAATGTGATCTAGCTGTGAAAATAGCTGTGGGCGTACAAACTATTTATTCAATACATTATTATCTCAAGCGCTAGCTCTCCGCGTATGCTTTCCGCCTTAAAACAATAACTCACCATTCAAATCACGAATCAGGTCACCTTCTGGTATCCTCATTGAGTCTTAGACAAGTATCAGTAAGATATCAGTCAAAATAAGTATCGGTCCGTAAAAGCAATATGCGACATACATATCGGTTGAAAGTGCTTTTAATGCTTTTTGGACCTATTATATTCACATTATATGTATATTTGTACGTTCACGTTTTTTTTGTATTTTTTTTCAACAGTGTAAAAACCATTTATTAACATTTCTTGTTCATATTATTATTGTTACAATGTTATAAAAATTTTGTTTAGTCCCAAAGAAATGAATTCTTATTCTAACGTAAGATGAGCGATTTTCCTCATATCGATTCGTTTAATTAATGTAGAAACGGGTCCGGGGCTATATTTCATCCACACTCTCGAAAGTCTCGATACGAATTTGCTTCGTCAGAACTTAATCTAAATCTACATTAATTTGGGCCGCAGGCTAAATGGTTCACTTTAGTTCGCTTAATCTACATTTTTTATTTTTACTTTTCATTATCTGTAGTTTCAAGTATTTATTTATCTCATTTCTATTTTATTTATTAATCTATCGAAAAAGGAAAATGTATTTATTTATTGCATAACCGTATAAAATAAATATGGTAAAGCAGTTTAATTATTTGCAAAATTTGTCTTAAACATTTATGGCCGGTTAACACTTAACCTTAACGC